TAATTAAATTCAGAATTTTTTTGACTTATAATAAATTTTATTTGCAATAAAACTATCTTCCTCATCAAAATCATAACTGCCTTCTATTTCATGAACGCATGTCAATCGACCCATCAACTTTTCCAAGACACCTTCTCGTACCAAAACAAGAACAGCAACTTCAGTTTCCGGTCGACAACCGAAATCACATGCATGGCTCACCTCAATGTCTTCTCAATTAACACAATGGCTGTTTTCTTTTTTGTAATATTTACATTGCATATGTTCTGATTTATCAAAAAGGGATGCATAAAGCAAGCAGGGATGCATAAAGCGAATGTTTTTTCACCTCTTGCTGTTGACTGAGGCAGATTTCACACGCCTGCCCGACGTTGCGTAAAAATATTTGTGAGCGGATGGTGTTGGACATGTGACGACATGTGACATGAATATATCAATTTATATATTTAACATTTTAGCAACAATTAAACTAAATAGTTAACATTCAATATGAAACTTTTTTTATTGTGGGGATATGTAAGTATTGGTTGCGTTCGTTACAAGACCAGTGCAAAATAGCGACAAAGGACCATCCCAATATTCTAGCCATCAGCGTACTAGAAGGCAATTTAAACGATATCATACTTTAGATAATGAATATCGACTGTTAACTAATGGTTATATGTATTAATTATTGTATATATTTATTGTTAACTATAAATTAATGTAGTAATGTTAGTTAAGTAGGTCAAAGCACTCTACTCCTCTCAATTATTAACAATCACTAATTTATGCAATTTTGCCCAATGTTTATTCGCAAACTAATTGCAAAATATAAAGTTAAAAAAATATATAAAACTTGAATTTTTTTTTATTTTGAATCGAGTTCATGAACAGCCTTGGAAACTCTCTCCATTGATATTAGTGCCTATTAAGAAATTATTTAACAAATTATTAATAATTGCAAAATTATTTATTCGCGTTTTTGTTCTTGTACATCGGCAGAAACTCCCTGATTTTGATACGCAAAAAAATGGAAATTGATAATAGATGTGCTGTGTAAGCAAAAAAATGTGTCATTTGAAAGGCCTTTAAATGAGATGCAAAATTTTTCAATTCGCTCTCTGCTGACGCCTTTCGTTGTTAGGTTATGAAATTGTTTGCAATCGTAAAGAAATTAGCATCTCATGACAACCCTCGTTTCTTTGTCCTCCATTCATTGGCCGTAAGTTCACAACTCGATTGCTGAATCCGTTTCGCCGTTTGTCGTTTCATTCGCGCGCTACCAACGCTTAAAGTTTGGTGTGAAAGCAACCAAAGCGACGACATAAGACGCCAGAATTGCGGCTAAACAATGTCTCGGAGCGAAATGTTTGTCATATTTTTAAGGAAAAAAGACGCTGTTTTGAATGAGGAGAATTGCTTGTTCTATTATGTTATCGCTCTTTGGATGGCGACCAGTAGAAAGAAATCGTAGTTGATAAGCTATTACTGCTCTTTAACGTTTCAAATATTTATTTTTACGGTAAATTTATCCGTGTGGTGTAAACTCCCGTGTCTACATTATAAATCATTTACATGATATTAACTTGTAAGGCAATTATTTTGCAGCTCTTGAAACCATATGAGGTACGTCGAATATAAAAACAACTTTAATTAGTATAATTTTTTTACAATTTATTCAGTGGTGCAATTTGCTTGTCAAGACATTTATCGGTTGACGAGAAAATTGATAATAAACAATTTATCTTGCAGAACACATTACCCCGAAACGGAGCACGTTGATGCATTGAATAGTAGTTAAAACTTTTGGGTTCAAGTTCATGGACAAAAGCTTTAAGATCCTTTATATAACAATTAGCGCTAAAATGAAAAACAAATAATCCATTCAACAATACCAGTCGCAGTTGGCGCAGCAATCAGATATACTAAGCTGTCGAAGTTAATTTTTTCTTTTGGTCTCGTCGCGATTTTAAAGAACAGTACACTTTTTGGGGTTCCTCGTACCAGAAAAAAAGTTTTTTTTGTCCGTCCGTGCGCCCGTCCGTCTGAACATTATAGCCCAAATCGTTTGTAGTATTTTTCTCCAACATGAATAATCCCCTATCGACCGGGCCGCATTCCACACCCGACATATTTGAAACGCGCCTTTTAAGTTCTTTACATGATGGCCCTAGATCCCCTTTATAAATAATGTCTTAGGATCTGGATGTACGGGTCAGTGCTATGTGGATGAAGCGCACATTGTCACGGAGTAGATGGCGTGAAAGCAGATTACTTGTGCCCCCGTCGCGTAGCGCGAGAGCTGTGCACCAGTAGTCTCACCATTAGAATCTGTCTGTCACGGTGCAGAGCTATCTGACTGACGCGCATAATGTCACCGAATAGGTGGCCCGCATAACTTTTCGATCGTTTGATTGATTGTTTTAGTGATTCTGGGTACGTCAACTACCAGGGTCATTAGTCCCGTAACTGTAATGCATGTTTTTTGCTCGGGAGGTGGCAGTAATCTTTCCCCCGCTGTATGGCGAGATTCGGTGCCGACCTACCGTCGGCTAGAGGTGATTTCCTCTACCAGGTATCTCCCACCATCGAGGCACCTGGCGGCCGGTCATTTGTCGCATATTCCCCCTCGTTCTCTCAAGCGACAAAGGCTGAAAAATTGCGGTGCCCACAAGAATCTAGGACAATCAGAACGCGTTCAAGAAAACGAGGTCACTCAATAATCTCGTAGTTAGGGCGGTTGGACGGAGGTGAAGTGTCAGCTGTCTTCCCGGACATCAACATCTTAGTGACAAGAATTATGGCGTTCAAAAGGTATGTAATTTCTTGGAATATATGTTACCCTCATCATTGATTAACTGACTGATTAGTGATTCTGAGGGTGTCAACTTCCAAGGTCATTAGTCCCACAAGTGTCGTGAATGTTTTCTCTCTCGGGAGGTGGCAGTGATGTTCCGTCGCTGGATGGTGAGATCCAGCACCGAAGTACAGTCGACGAGGTTCTCCCCAACCCGGTATCTTCCATCAGCAGAGTATCGCCCAAGCTCTAAGCTCCCAACCGGTCTCCCGGCTTGTGTGATGGTGAAGTGCAGTATGTGTGCGAGTAAGTAAGGGGAGAGGATAGAACAAGAAATAGGAATGGAAATTCGTGCGCGATCCGTGGCCCGTTTGTTAGGGTACTGCTCCGTCATTCGGAGAAACCACGGAAAACTACCGATCGGAAGTGCTGGGCGCTAGAATTCTCCTCCAGACAGCGACAGAACTCGATCTAGCTATCACGCCAGTGCCGAATATCCTGCCACCGTCGGGACTCGAGTCTAGGACCTCCTGGTCAGAGGCACACAATGACATCAGTTGAAGCCCCGAGCGACCTCTCCCGGTTTGTCCTCACTAGTAGTGGAAACAGCTAGTACGTGTCTCAAACGTTACCCAGAAATGAGTCTTCCTCCGCATCCCAAACTTCCATCTTGCCGTGAATTTGTATTAAACACAAAATAAGAAAATTTACCCAATTCCAGTTTCAGTAATCTAGTTTTGCAGTAATATTTCCTAATTGTTTTATATTTTTGTCATGCTCACAGTTAACGCGAAAATATAACGCCTCAGTTAACGCCTAAAATTGTAATAAACATTGACACCGGCACTAATAAGTAGTCATATTGACTATTCAGAAACAAACAGAAGCGTATTTAATTCAAAATTGGTAACCAAAACACGTTTAATTCATGTGATCATATGATTTATTATTCTTTACTACAATTTTTCAAAATTAACAACTATTAATATAAAAATAGATTAAGCAAATTAAAGTCCAGGCAAGTAATATGCACTAGAAAAATAGGATTTTTGTGACATAGTTTATTAATTTAAGATTTATTTTTAAGTAATATTTTTGATTGTAATTAAAAATTTTACTGAGTAAACTAAGGAAAAATAATACAGTGAAACTCCTTTATGTCATAGTAAATCATCCTAAAATTGGTAATCCAATATCATCGTAAGTCATCCTAAAATTGGTCGTCAAGAATAGGTTTCTCTTATCAAGTCTGCTTTCTGAGCTTCAACGTAAATATATACACACATCCAATATACACTGAAGAGACAAAAAAAAAACTGCACATACTCTATACCATCACAGAGCCTCCATCAGCTTGAACACCCCAGTTGACATGCAGGGTCCATGGATTCATGAAGTCGCCATACTCGCATACGTGCATCCGCTCGACACAATGTGAAACGAGACTCGTTTTACCGGGGAACGTGTTTACTATCAACAGATCAATGTCGGTGTTGACGGGCCCAGGCGCAGCGTAAAGCGTGCACGATTGGGAATGAAAGAGTGGACCTTCGGCTCTAAAACTCCATGTTGATCATGCCTCGTTCAATGGTTTGCACGCTGACACTTGTTGATGGCCCAGAATTGAAATCTGCAGCAATTTGCGGAAGGGGTGCACTTTGTCACGAGGAATGATTCTCCTCAGTCGCCATCGGTCCCGCTCTTGCACGATCTTTTCGCGGCCGCAGTGATGCCGGATGTTTCATGTTTTACCGGATTCCGATATTCACGATACACTCGTGAAATGGTCGCAAGGAAAAATCCAAATTTCAACTGTGCCAAACTCTGGTTGTCTTATAGTCGTTGCCGACCGGAGCGACGTGTTCTTATTGGTTCCAGACCTCTTTATTTCAATACGCATGACTGTACCAGTTTTTTGGCTCTTCAATGTACTATGAATTTATAAGTTAATTAAATAAAAATTATGATATGTAAATAACATGCATTTAATTAACAAACACAAAAATTGTAAACACCATATCCTTTCATTATTCTTCGTCTGGAATATAAAATCTGATATACTTGTGTGTTTGAATTTCTTCACACGTTTAGCCACAATACGATTTTCATTTTTTTCAATATCACCTAACTAATTTGCTAACTTGTCATTTTTCAATTCCTTCGCTTATAAACTATGTCTTCTAATACTGGAAAGTACAACAGGTAATAATAATGGATCAACTTGAAACCTATCACTTCGTCACTTTCTTCATCGTTGTCCACCAAGCTATCTTCCGAAACCACGTCATCCCAATTTTCATTGTCATTGAAAGAGATGTGTACATTATCGTCAACATCAGTATTGATGGTTTTAGCCAAATCCTTGATTGCTTCTACTCTGCTGTCATGCCCTGTTTCTTCAGGCATATCCGCACTTAAAAATTAGCAGTTTATAAAACAATTTCCATTGGTTTCTGATTTCACTTCATTTCAAGAACTTTTCATCCAATCCACAACATCATGAAATGATGATCCTTCATCTATTCTAGCCACTAAGATCTTATTTTTTCCTCCCTGATCCATCATTTGCAATCAAGTCGCAAATCCAGCAGTTACAGGTCCTTTTCTGGCGAAATAATTTAATTTCTACATTTGATCATTTTTCGTTGTAATGGCATGTAGCATTATCGACGAACAGAAAAATCTTCCTGTTTGCATGTTGCCTTTCCTTGTTCAGTTTGTGCAGTGATCAACGAAACCTTTCGCTTATCATACCTGTTTTTTTTAATTGGTTTGCCAAAATGTTTCTCAAAGTAGCGTGTTCGTATTTGAAGCATCGTGGGCGCAGAGATGTGTGGGTATTCTTTTTCCCCGCACATATGGGCACATTAGCGTAATCTTCTGTTAATTTTTGAAAATTTTATTTAAGGTTGTATCAACTTCTAGGTCATTAGGGACCACTATTGCTTGAAACGGTATGGTAACTGTGAGGATGACACAATGCGGTGATGAAAGGGGGTGAAAGAACTAAGACAATTCAACCACGCCCGAGGCGGGACTCGAACCAGCGATCCTTCGGTCCGAGTTCGCTACAGCACTACTTAGCGGCCACCGGATCGGCACATAAGTGCAATTGTTAGTCACTGATTTTCTAATTTATCACTTTGCATTTGTCTACTTTCATTTCACAGATTCTGTCCGGTATTGCTTTAAATTGCCCGTTCATCCATGTTGTAGATGTCACATGGGCGTATCCTTTGGTGATATCGCTAATTCGTGATATCCAGTCACTGATCGTATTTTAATTGTCTTCACCACTTTCAACACTTTCAGGAAATATGTTCAACTTTCTATTGCTGGCCTTTAACTGTTTTATCCCAAATTCTCATGAGATTCGAAGAACTTTTTCTCGTAACATTGGTCCACTTTTAGGGAGACCCTTTGAACGAGCGCGATTAAACTGGTTATGCTCTCGTAAGGTTTCTCTTTTCAGAGTCCATAGTGATGTTTTCTTGCCAATCTTTCAAATACCGTTCCCGATTGCCAAGAAAGTACTGATTTTATCACAATTAAAAAGCTTAGCTAACTCTCGCTGCGACTTTGCCGTTTCTCTTTTCTTGATCATAGATAGCGTGTCCAAAGAGAAAGGATAGCGAGTTTCTTTTTGCGATTCATATTTGCTCTTTGCAAACCTAAAATGAATATTGTATCGATAACAACTTTCCTAATCCTATTGCACCCTACAACATCAGCTGCAAAACTCCACAGTAAAAGCACATTCAGCACTAGATTGTATTGCAAACTGAAGAACAAATCGCCATGACAGCGTCGATATCCCCTACCGCGTGAAAAACCTGTGTTAAAGCTTCCTCTGATTCTCGCAGAAGCTGTCAAAAGACGCTGCAGCGCATTCGTTAACATCACATCACATTCGAAATACACGGAAAGGTGTACAATATATCATGGCATCGGGATCGTTTCTCAGGAGGGAGATAGTTTGCTCAATGAAGACGGTTCAGAAGAAACGTTCGTTTTAATATAGCTAACAGTTGTTACTTCATATTTTAACTCTTTCAAAGTTGTGATTTTGGGAGATTTTCATTTACAAACAAAACGTCGAAAAGTAAAACCATCAAGCGTACAATATCGAAGATAAAAATAATCTGCTTTAATAAAATTGTTGCCATGGGTCAAGTCAGCCATTTTTTTACTTCTCTTGTGCACTGACGATGAGTGCAATTGTAATAATTTATGAATATGTAAGGAAATGCTTGATTCTTTAAGGTCGCTTTTTTAACTACTAGTTCAAATAGAGACCACGCTTTTTACAGTAGGGGGAATACAACACGTAAGTATAACCGACACAAGCACATAGAAACATCTTACTCGCAACCCTTCGAGCCGAGGCAACTACGGCCCTACAGCTTTAGCGACCTCGGTTATCCAGGCCGGCTAAAACGTACGATAATTTCGTTAGAAGTGTAATTATTTAATTTGAATCAATTAATTAATTTATCGTCAAAAATGATTACTCTCTATCCAAAGGTATTTTTAAAACTACATACAAAGAAACGTATAATAACTACATTAAAAATCTCACACAGGTAATTTCCATATTAATGAACGTGCTATCATACAACGACTCAAAATACCTGTTCAGGGAAAACCTCGCTAGCCGATGGTAAGTCGGCGCCGGACCTCTCCATCCAGTGGAGAAAATCAACGTCACCTCCCGGGTAAAAAACATGCACTACACCTATGAATCTAATGACCTTAAAAGTTGAAACGCCCGGAATTAATAGTAATCAATCAATGGAGTAGCGGCACAGAACTAACTGGCTGCACCGGAATTTTGTTACTGAACAGAGGAAGCATATCTCTTGCATTTTGATTTACAGTTATTTATCAGTTAGTTACGTAAACTCATCATCTCCTAGGGTGAACCATTGACTATAATAATTATCCATATTTCTGAATACAGATGATAATGGAGAAATGGGATAACGTAGATAAAATGTCTAATTTTTCAATAAAGTAGTTTTTTTTAATTCCTGCCTCACAAAAATGTATTAATTTTTAGGTATAATATAAACATGTGATTTTCACATTGTGACCCTCCGTAGAGTTGATATCTGCATACTTACTCATCGGGGTGCTCCAGAGGGTGGTAGAGGCTGAAATCTGAGAAGTCCAGCTGCACGCGCTGCGAGGGACGGCCTTCGAACTCGTAGACGCATCGAGTGTCGGGCGGGTAGGGCCGCGGGTAGCCTGGCGACGCCACCGTCCCGTTGTCCGCCTGCTCGCTCGAGTACACGCGGCGACACGCCAGCGCTGCCAACACACCAGTGAGCTCACATCAACGAGGAAATTCGTTAACCGATCTACAAACACTTCGACATCCAATTCTTCTGAGATAGTGTTCATTCTTTTAGGGAGCTAAAATCAAAATAGCAGGTTAAAAAATATTGATAAAATTAAATGAAAGACTGGTTTCACTGGATCGAAATATCAGTATTACTTCGAAACATCTGATCATTGAAATCTGTTGAACTGTCTGTGAAACGTCTGATCATCAAACGTTCTTCCAACCCTGTAGAGCATCTACATGCCTGATCAGTAGTGCTACACCAAAATGATTATCAATATGATGAAAGGGAAAAAAGTAGAAGCATTTCCAAGAATGCACATGAATCAACGAATACAATCACGGGGAGGGTGTAAGTACGATGTACCTCGACAATGTTCAGGAAGAGCATTTACCAATAGTTTTATTTGGCTGTAATTTAACTTGTTACAATTACGCCAGAAGCCAGTGTCTTGTAAACAACTGTTTTATTTGAAAATATTTATGAGCAATAGTGTTTGATTTACGAGGGAATCTAAAGGCAATTATCACTGGATTTTCAACTCCATTGGATCCTCCCTCCTTTTTATAATCCAAAGTTGTATATTAAATGTAACATTTTCACCACGACACTTCTAACTAGTGGATAAATATTTCTGTGTTCAATATATTGTCAACTACGTTACATTATCAAATATTTGGATTATACTTTATTATCATTATTTCGGATTTTACAACTAAATATACTCAAATTGCAGATTTCTATACGGTTAGTTTAAAAATCTTCGTAGATTTAAACATTTATTTGTAACGTAGGTCAAACGGGCCTGCCCTTTCTATCTCAAGTATACATAAATTATTAGTAGCAACTAGTTATAATTTTGGCGAACTTATATAAATCAATAAATAACACTAGAGATCATACGGAAGAATTTGTTGACTATATTTTCCACAATATTATTCACCACCTCCAATCTCTATCCCCTCCTCTCTGTTTCTCTTTCTCTTTGTACAACTAATTTATTCCACTTTCAAACTTAACAATACAAAAATATTACGAACGACAAAACATATTGTGTAGCAAACAATATTCAATTAAATGCAGGCATTCCATATCATTCATATCATTTACAGTATTTTGTCATCCATGACACCATACCCAAATTTCCGTTTGCGCATTTAAAATAATGGTAAGAATTTTGGGCATTACTTGATCGTCCAACAATATGTTTCCAATAAGTGTATGTCCATCTACGTATCGTAGTAGAACCACGGGATTTTGGACTACGACGGTCATCATCAGGTCGGAACACACAGGACGACATTCCATAATTCCCATAATTTCACATCTTATCTATTTATTAATTTCCATGTTTACACTATTTCCGCAGCGCTTTTACAATGTCCTGATTTAATATAGAACTCCACCTAAGACAGACTTACACGAATATTATAAAGTACGTCCTTCTAGGACGAATGAACCCCATCTGCATTCTCTGGACCTCCGACCTCTGTGAATTCTAGACCCCCCAGTCCGTGATTTTCCTACATATTTTGCTACATGTTTTCAACGAATGCGCTGATTGGCTATTATGTAGACGGCCTAATGCATCTTAATTCTTGAAAAGGTACTGTTGAACGCAAATTCATCGTCAACACTCCTGGCACTGGATACAATGTCTAATAGTTTCAGATATACTACAGTTAATGCCCTCAGCCACCTCAGTCGGCCAAAGTATTAGGACAGGAAGCGTTTCTTACGGAATTTGTTTCCGTGTGTAATTGACGAAGAGGGCAAATCTACATTCACAATAATTGTACAAGTGATGACATGAAGCCAAAAGATACAATCGGAAAACATGTATAGGTCAGCAGCCGCTCGCATAGAGTTTAAATACGTAGAACTAATATAAAAGTACAATCAGTGCATGATGAGCCTTAAAATTCTTCCGTAAACATATCTATTAAGCTGAAACTATGTTTACCAGATCACTTTCCCAACTTAAAAATTAAAATATTTTATTAGTAATTTCACGTTTGAACCCGTATAAAATTTACCAATTCTCCCAACCCATCATTGTTTCCGTCACAATAAGGCTAACGAAAACATTTAAATTCCGCAAATCCTTAGCCCGTAATATCCATCGCTCTTCACAGGTATTACGCTTTAATCGCTCTAATCAACGGAATAATTATTCCTCGGGCTCCAGCTCATCTTCGTCCTAATTACTCCCCGCCACCCTCCTCTCCTCTACACATTACGCGCATCGCGCAGATCTCGTTTTCGCGCACAAACCTAATTAGGCGCGGGGTCGATGGATCACCCTGAAATTCGCCCGGCGAACTCGCCAGAACTCGGTTAGTGCGCGGAGGGCGCTCGCTAACAGCGTTAGAGGCGCTGCGCCGCGTTGCGCCGCGCGCGCAGAGTGTTGCTGCGCCCGAGGCGTTGCTGCGCGAGCGATTCCCCTGGCGGCCGCGCCCCGCCCACCAGCAAACAAGCCCGACGCCGGCCGTACGCCCCCCAAGGACGCCCCATTCATCACGATGCGGGCGCGAAGTTTAATACGCGGCGCGAGTATTAGAGTACACCCCGCAACAGCCCCAGAACTAAACATACAGCGGCAGGTTGAGAAGAAGTCATCTGATGTGAACGGGGTCTTAAAAGACCTATTTCTTTTCACTTATTTACACAATTATAATTTCATTTTTCTCCATGATTTGGAGACGTGAATCCGATATTGGCATACTTGTTCTTTTCACATTCCATCCCTATCAAGAAATTCAACTACTAGTCTTGTTGAAGAAATAACAATCAGTTCTGGGCGAAGTTATCGGAAAGAATTGTCCGTACTATGTGTCAAACTCCAACAATTGATTATGAAGGATTCTACTGCTAGATTCTTAAACAATTTTTGGTGTGTTCTTTCTGGTTCTATTTTTTAAGGGCTTCATAAATATACTTCAATTGTACTGTTTTCTTATTTTTATACAAATCTACTAAATGAGAAAGCAGATGCAACTGTGTAAAGTAAAATGTGCAAAATGTTAAAACCAATCAATTTTTTTTTCTCGAACTACTTTTTATTTTTTTTATTTACAAAAATGGTTGAAGCTATCAACTTCATCTAAGTCATCATATCGTCATTAGTGATTCTTAACAACTTCAGGAAATTTCTGTCACCATTTAAACGTTTTCACATCCATGTTCCTTATTTCTCTCCCACAAACCTGACATGCAGTTAAGTGTTTCCGACTTGACCTGTGTACTGGGCGTGTGATCTCTCTCTCTCCTATTTTAATAATTAAATCAGCTTTTTGTCATGTCGAAGTAGATTACTAGGTTTATCCTAATAAATTTTAGGAAAATAATTTAGAGTAATTTTCAAACTCCTCTCGAAATTCTTTTTAAGTCTATAGTGCGGGTTTAGCTAACAATAATATAAGTAACATATACTTTTCACTTATTAACACTGTTATAAAGTCATTTCTCTTTATGATATGGAGACACGCATCCAATATTGGCTCTTTTCACATTCAGTCCATAACAAGGATGTCAACTATTTGCCTTCTTAGGTTTGGCAACAATCGGTTGATTATTAACAACCTACTCATCGTACATTGGCTTGAAGTTTACAACTTCAAGCAACAGACTGCAAGGATTGATTATAAAGGATTGTTCTGCTTGATTTTTAAACGATTTTTTTTTGTGTTCATTCTGGCTCCATTTTTGCTGTTTTCTTAAGACGCTAAATAAATACTATACGAGAGTACTTTCTTGGTGAAAACACGAGCACGGGTAGAAAATGTGAAATATAGACATGAAAGGACAAAATAAGGACATTTATTGACGTACCGAAATTGTGTTTCTCCTATTTATTGTGGTATTTGAAATGACAGTATTGATTTCATGTTCCAATGCATTTTAGCGAATACGAGCTCACAACATTCCAAATGCATTACACACCCTCTTGTGCTCAAGTGCTGCTGACTTGACTCGTGTGGTGTGCTTGTTCGAAAGGCTCTATTCGGCAGGAGCTCGATTACCCCGATGTCACATTGGCTCCGGTGACCAATCAAATGTCCTCACGTGGCGATTGCTGTCTGTGGTTTGGGCGCGTCATTATAGAAGACTCCCCTGCCCATCACGCGTACCGGTGCACAAGGGCTTTAATAAGTCGTAGGCTTCCGCGGCGCCAGAGTCATGTGGAGTATCTGGGCTGCCGGGGTGACGCCGCGTCGGAGGCTGCTTTTCCCCGCGATTTCGACCCATTCCTGTGTCTGTGTCGATATGCCAGCATCAGCACACTGAGGAAACCACGACAGATGGCCCAGATCACCGCACATAGGTTTTTTCCCAAGAGCTCAACCTTGTTCCACTTTACATTCTCGAAGGACGTTTTTTGCCTAGCGAGAACGGCTTGTGCTGTGAGGAGAGTGCTCTGCTCGAAAACATCTTACATTCAATGTTCGGACAAACCGATTTTTTCTTTGCTCTCTGACTAATATAAAATACTCACAGAGCCACTCGTGCGTTGATCTGAACAGGAAGCATAGTGAAGTATACTTTTCATGCTACAAATTAAAAAATTGTAGGAATCCGATATTATTTAAGAAAAAAATCCCTATCGACTTATCGCCCCAACACTCGCATCAATCGAACTATTTTCGATATTTCTTTTAACATGATTAAATTAGACAAGCAGATGTATCCGTCTCGTATCAAAAACATGTGTCAACTACTGGCCTTGTTTGGTTTGGCAACAATCATTGTTTAATTAGTACTTACACATCGATACATTGATATAAAATATACAAATTCTTTCTTTACTTCACAAGTTACAAAGACAACAAACTTCGAAGGCTTGTATATGAATTATTCTCCTGCTGAATTTATTAATGATTTTTTCGTTTTCTTTCGAAGTTATATTTTTCTGGGTTCTAAGGGCGCTTATAAATTACTTTCCCAAATCGTACTTTTTACATTCTCGCGCTTAAGGAGAACTCTTAAGAAGAGAAAGTTACGTAATCTGCTCGAAAAACGGCGAATTTTGGCAGAAAAGCTCCTTATTACCCAGAAACCATTATGTAACGAAAAGGGATAAATCCATATGCTAAATTTACAAAAAAAATCCCCTGCTAACATGTAATATGACCCAAAATCCCTGTCCGTTATCGGTCGCTTAATAACGAAAAATTGACGCAAAAAACGTCTCTCCGTTCGTCTGTCCTATGGACAACACTAGAGCTAAATCTTCAACCAATTTTCCTCCAAAAATGATAATTCCAATCTGATCTGTCTTATGTCGAGGGATCCTTGAATTTGAAACGATATTTTAATTTGGGGTACTTTAACCCACCAAACCCCTGACCATCCATTTAATCAAATTTTTTAACAAAAAATGCGCCATCGAGTATCATTAAATTTTGTTTGCTGAATAGTCTGAAAGACTTTCAGTGGAGCGCAAGTCTCATGTTCGCGTTGAAAACTCTCGATTTATTCCAAAATTAAAAAATTCAAAATTATTTGTTTCGAACGATCCTTGGTGAATAAAATTATAATGTAAAATTATTATGAAATTAAAATTATGTAAAAGTATTATGCAGTTTTCTTTTTGGTTGTCAAATAATTTAAAATAAGGGTCTAAACAACAATTAACATAAAAAAATATTGCATGTTCTATAAATTTGCCGTAATCTAATTAAAGCTCTTTTAAAAATAACTCTACGTTAATTAACATTGATCAAATGATTCGATTATATTATTAATATTAGAAATTAAGTTTGCTAAGGTGAATATAATATAACAAAAATAAAAAGTAATAAATTAAAATATAACTTGTATTAAAAGAATATGCTTACACTTTTTCTTTACAGGAATAATTAAAAATTTTCCATTCGGGAAAAATAACATAATTCATAATCTAATGCATTTCCATCATTATCTACGACTATCGTGCAATGTTGAATCCATTTTTAGTTATAATGGCATATTTCACACATGCCGTCACCACCCTCACAACTGCCGACAATGTGCTCAACAATTTTGTCAGTAATTATGGACTATTTGATTGTGATTAGCTGTTGAACAATTACGCAAACTGTCAGGGCAACTCTTTCGGTTCAATACTCATTCATCTTCAACACATCCATCTGGTTATATGGGTGACCTACTACCACGCTACAGCAATTCAATTTTGAAGAATACAGAACATCCATTACTAACACATCACGCCTAAATCACATTTATATCCTCTCGCAGGCTCTTCACGAAAGCAATAATTACGCGATCCCTCATTGCCC